CGCAGCACCAGACGCATTGATTATACATTACTTAAGCCTTGTTTTAAAACAATAAAAGGTTTTCTTTCCGTTAATCCAGAAATGTGGAAACAACATTCCATTTAGTTTAAATATCCAAATGGGTTAAATTGCATCTGTAGACACAACAGTAATTCTAACATTTTTTTAAAAGATATGCTGATCCACATGGCTCGGTGCTTTTGTTTTTACAACACAGCTCCACTGCTCTCCTTTAACTACAATGGCCTTAGGGACTTTAGTCAGCTGAGAAAGAGCCAGAGAGTATACTATGGACAACAAACAAATTTAAATTGAGGGTTTTTCTCTTGATAAAATTCACTTATCAAACAATAAACTAAGCAGTGGTTTAAGTTGCTCAATAATAAAAACAGATTTTTTAAAAATCTTTGTTTAAAAATATTTAGGCTCTAGAATGGTTTTGAAATTACAAAAAAAAAAAAAAAAAATGATTCAAAGTAAGAATCCCAAAGGTTCCCCACCAGAACATCAGAGCACTGTGAAGATGTGGTAATATTTCATCCATTCTGAGTTTTTGGAACCACTTAATAAAATGCAGAATTTGGCTGTTCTAGCTTTTAAACAGTGCCCATAAATGTGTTACAAAACCAGTCTAGTTAACAGATCATTAAGCTAATGTTGAAATATGGATTTCCGCTCCCCCTCAATTCATAAGAAACTACTTCGTGAGTAATCCAGCCCCCAGAACCTCTCCTCCACTGAACCAGGATGAAAATTCATAGAAGAGAAGGGGAAATCCAACATTCAAGAAACAACTTTCATGGTTGCAAAAATATACAAGTTTTGGACTGAGAAATAAACCTAGAGTAAAAAACTGTAAATTGATAGATCAGAACTACTTTTCAAATGAAAGTAGAAATAAAGTATAGGACAGATTTTGCCCCAGCATGGTGGCTCATGCTTCTAATTCCAGAGGCTCAGGAGGCTGAGTCAGGAGGATCCCAAGTTTAAAGCCAGCCTGGGCAACTTTGCAAATCCTCTCTCAAAGTAAAAAATAAAAAGGACTAGGGATATAATTCAGTGGTTAAGTGCCTCAGGGTTTAATCCCTGGTACCAAACACACACACACACACACACACACACACACACACACACATATCACCCACAAATGTTATCAAATCACAAAATCATCGATAGAACCTGTATTTGACAGAGGTGATTCCTTTTAAAATATAAAAGTAAGCTCTGCAGCAACATTTGATCTAACCTAGCCTACAAGCTTAGATAATTCAGTACAAAGAAATGCCTTACCTGTACCCTCCTAACTTTGAGGCAGACTCCAGGGAAATGTCAAGTACACTGTGATACAGAGCTCGGCTAAAAACTAAACAGATCGCTTAGTCCATTTTATCACAGTTGTTGAAATAAAGTTCTGTATGCCTTATTAAGTGAGGTTCTTTGCTGGTGCAATTGCTACTCTTCAAAATTATCTTAAGAGAAGCTTAACTATTTTGAATCAATTAGGTCACCTAGTATCAATCAATTCAAATTTTAACAGCTATTACTAACAACTGTTTCACTCCAAGTTGCAAAATCCAAATGCCAAACACAAACCACCTTATATTACATATGCTCCAACATTTAAAATATCCTTGCATTTCCATATACTACCAATGAAGGTCTTGTTCCCCTCCCTCTACTTGGAATTAGAATTTTTCTCTTCACAACATACAGTCACAACCAAAAGACATAAAAAACACAAGGAGATCTGACAATATTTCAAGGCATATAAGTATTTCAACTAAATGGTTAACATCAGAATAAAATTTAATATTTTTCTGAAGAGCACTGTGGAACCCTTAGAGCTCAAAATTCCATTCTTTGACCCAAAGTGGTGCAAATAATGTATCTGGGATTCATTTGTATACCACAGAAGAACAAAGTTCTTGCAAATCCTGCTTGAACTTCAAACTAAAATGTTCCCGAAAGTGTTTGATTTGTCAGTGAACTGGTAAGATGTCTGCAAGGTAATACTTTTTAACAAAAATCACTTGGTTTTTGTATATATTATGCCCCCCAAAGTAATGAAATTATTTTAAAACCATTTTCCTACTAAAATACCACAAAGACATTCATTAAAATTACATTATTTTAAATATAAAACTCATTCTTCTACTGTTTAGACCAGATTTCCAAAGCAGCTCACCATATTGCCCAATAGTTTTCAAAACAAAAAGGGTCCCACAGGAAGAAAGGAAAAAAGCATAAATGTAATCAATATATAAAATTAATGTGTGGCATAAATCCCTCAACACAAACTCTTGAATATCAGGAGTGAGAACAACAGAAAGTATACACACCCAACAGCAATTAAAAATAAGTGAGTAGCCAAATTGATACGTCCTGTGAAAAAGAAGCTCAATGAATGTTATAAGAGTTAAAATCTCATCTTATAAATGAGGAAACTGAGACGCAGAAAGGTTAAATAATTTGTTCCATATCATGCAGTTAATGATATATCTAACCAGTCCAAGTTTCCTAATCGAAATCTAATGCTCTATTCACCAAATATAGTTGTGGACTCCATACACTAAATGTTCTTTAATAATCCCCATGTTTTTATTCTGGTTGTATTCCGTTATGCTCTTTGTGATATTCATTAACTAATTACAAAATTGCTCATTTTACATTATTTTTTTCAAATATCAAATGTGAAAATAAACTCTGAAAGCCTATAACTGAAGTATTCAACTTTTGAAAGATGACCACCCAATGTTTCAAATTTCCTTTAACCATAAACATGAGGCCAAAATGCCTTACCTTCAACACATTTGAGACTACTGGGATCACATAGGTACACAATCACCACACTCAGACCCTCTCATATCATTAATAACACCTACTGGGGGAAAGGGAAAATGTTCTAAAAGAACACTTATCACCTGATCCTTCCCTGTCAAAGGCCACCCTAACTCTAAAGCATTTCTGCATCCATAACATCTAAACTAAGTTCTCCCTTTCACAAGGAAAAGACCCAGACCAGTCAACTAAGATGGATTAACATATATATCCACCTGACACAAAACACCTTAATTAAAACCTATTCCTTCTAAAACATTCATCTCATTTCTACAAAAACTTCCCAAATCGGATACTTCTGCTTTTAACAAGAAAACTGAAAACAATCTGGTATCAATTGCAGGTTACATTGTAAGTCAGAACCAATGTTGTCACAACTACAATGTCCAAAAAAAATGTGATTTAACAGTAACCACAAATAACTATGTATACACAGAAGTGTCTGCCCTGCTATAAAAGGTGTAGGTTTCTCCAGAAGCACAGATCCGGAGGATATACCTGTCACTTTACAAAACCAGGGTCTGGGATTGGGTTCATATTATCTGACTTGATAGCTTTATACAAAAATAACAACGCTTTTCTTAAAAGTAAACCCGGATCACTTAACAACTACAGACTTTCAAAGTAAATTCAGTTTGAAAAAAATTACCTATTGTTTTTACGGATTTTTTTTACCACTGACTTTATGGCTATGCATGTGCCATAAAATTTCAAAATGCTCACTCTTGCCTTTGAAAGAACCTGACTAGACCGCCTTTGGAGTCAACGGACTGGTTACTAAACAGAAAAATCCAGGGGAAAAAAAAATTCCTGACAGGCATTAGAATGAACTTTTTATTTCCTTCTCAAACTGAAAATATTCGAGTTTGGAAAGTCCCAAAGAAGAACCCTATCTGCAACACTCCAGTCCAGCCTTAGGGTAGAATCTGAAGCCCTGGGGGATGAACCGGGAGGAGAGGCAGCAGCAAGTACAGAGGAGAGGGAGGAGGCAAGACAAGGCTGCAGGTTGGCCTAGGATCTGCTGTAGCAGAAAGCTCGCATCTCCGCGCATCCAAACCACCACGTCGCAGGCCCACAGCAGAGATTCGCGCTCACCCTTGAAGGTGGCACTACAGAGCCACCTAGGAAACACGGGCATTTCATTGAAGACTAAATGGGAGTGAATCAAGGAGCCTGCGCCTGTGCAGCTGCCACAGCCTCCAGTGTGCGGGAGGGGGATCGCGCCCAACCGGGGTTCAAGGGTGTTGAGTCGGGGTGACCGCGAAGTGCGAGACAGAAAACCAAGAACTGAAGAAGCATAGTCAGGAGCAGACAGTGGCCTAACCAGAGGGAAAACGGAAGTGGACTAGACTGAAGCGCTGGACCACGGGAGAAGCGAGGAGAACCGGACTGGGTGACGCTCGCTACTACACAGGCTTGAGGAATTCGGGTCTGAAGGAAAGAAAGGGTGGAGGCCGCAAGACAGAGCGAGGGGGCGGGGCTGGGAGATAAGCGAGGGCGGGACTAGGTAGAGGAGAGGGGCGTGGCTTAGGGAAAGTGAGGGGGCGGGGCCAGGGAGGGAGAAGGAAGGAGGCTGGGGGAAAGGGAAGCGAAGGATGGAGGAGAGGAGGGGGCGAGGAGGAGGTGGGGAGAAGCAAGGGGAGCAAGTGGGGTGGGGGAGGAAAGCAAAAGACAGGGTGGAAGGGGAAGAGAAGCGGTACGGGGTACAAGGAGGGAGAAGTGAAAGGGCAGGTTGGAGAAGAGGAAGGGAAGCAAAAGAGGATGGAAAGGTAGTGGGAAGCAAGGGTCGGGACCAGAGGAGGAAAGCGAGGGGGCAGATGGGGGAAGCGGGAGGGAATCGAGGAGGCTGGTGGGGGAGAGAAAGGGAAGCAAGGGGGAGGAAGGAGGGGGCGAAGATAGGGCGGGGGACAGCGGCCGGAGGGGGGGAGGGCCACTTCCAAGGGCGCCCTGCGGGGAATTCCGGGGCTGTGCGGGGGTCGAGGGGGCGCCCGAGGGGCGGGTGGGCCTCCCGCCAGCCGTACCTGTCAGACGGATCTTGATGCTGGAGCCGTTCCTGCGCGTCCCAGGGTTCGACATCTCCCGCCAACGATCCGGCAGCCGCGGATCCAGCGCCGCCGCCCCCCGGCCCGGCCCGGCCCGGCCCCGCCGCCGCCGCCTCAAGGTTACGGCTCCGGGCTGGGCGCCGGGGTCCGAGCCGGGACACAAACTCCGCGGCCCAGGCGTCTGGGCGGCGGGCGGGTGGTCCAGCCCGGGAATCGGCGCTTGGCCCGGCGCTCCGACCCTTGCTCCAGCCAGCTGAGCCCAGTTCCGAGCCGCCGCCGCTGCTTCCACCTCCTCAGAGCCGGACGCCCGCCGCCCTCGCCGCTTCCGCCGCCGCCGCCGCCTCCCGGAGCCGCGCGCGTGCCCGGCGCCGTGCCGGCCCGGCCCTGCGCGTCCCCGCGCCGTGCGCCCCCGCGACTGCGTGCGTGCGCGTGCCCGCGGGCCACGCCGCGCACGGGCGGGGCGCGGCGCGCCGCGACGTCGCCCGCCAGCTCTCCTGCCTAGCGCGCGCGGGTCCAGGAGCTCGGGCCTGGGGCTTCGCGCCTCTTGCGCACGGTGTGTACCCGGGAGAGCTGGAGCTGCCCCGGACCGCGCACCTGGGCCCGGGCGCGGGTAGGAAGGCGCTGTCCGCGCACCGTCGCCTTTGGTCGTGACCACATTTCCTGAACAACTGATTTGCAGATGCGGTTGAGGTTCAGGGAATGAATTTGCTTTCCAGGTCTCCAGTGTCCTAAAGAGCTATGAAAGGGAGAGTTGCGTGAGACGATGGCCTGTACCTACACTAAGCACCTTGCATACGGGCATTCTATTCCATGTTTGAGTAAAGAGCTTTTAGATCCTGCAAGTTCAAGGGGGGTACTTCCCAAAGAGACAAACACTTAGGTGTACTCTGTGCAACCAGTGTGTTCTATTGACCTGTAACCAAAGTTGCCAGAATCGCAGGACAAGGTGAGCAGATGAGAAAGATAAAGTTGACAGGTAGATGTTTGCTATTATGCAATCTGCAGATGGTTAAACTAAACAGGAGCAATAGGCCTTGTGTTCACTTGCTTTTTGCTACATTTCCCCTCCTCCCAGAGTTGCAGATAAAAACTAAAAGCAATGCTTTCTCATGCAAGCAAATTCATCTCTATGGTAACATGTTATAGAGAGGAAATAAAGTAAATGTTATTAGGAAAAGCTGGGTTTGTTTATCAAACTTATACTTGATCCGCTTCCTAATTCATTTAACTTACAAATTCTTGGAGTGCCTTTATTTGGTTTGTGTCCCAAGGAAACGAGGGGCCCTTGCTGTATTCTATGAAGCCTTGAGCCTTTCCTGAGGTCACAGTCTTTAGATTAGAGACCACTTCCTAGAGCACTTTGACGTGCCTCCCTGTCTCAGGCTAAGCCCAGTAAAAGCAGTCTCTGGTGGGCTGGTTTCAAGAGGTCCTATCTTAAAGCCTCAGTCCATCAAATAAAAGGCTGACCCCAGACCATTTCTAAGGCCCTTTGCAGCTCAGACTTTCAAGGATCCTAGTGAAATAATCAAGAATATGAGCAACAGATCCAAATCCAGCTCTGCTTCCATTTGTGGGCAATTGTCGCTAGAATGAGCCCTTAGTAACTGTATGAATCTGACCAGGGTCTCTAATGCCTCCAAGTAATTCCTATTCTTCTCTCAAACCAGTCAGTACTTCCTGTTTGAAAAGCATCTTCCCTCTCCCTTTCTTTTTTCCCCTTCCTGCTTAACAGGAATCCAGCCTCCAGTTCCTGTCCCCAGCTGTTCCTGACCTTGAAACCTTTCCTTGCTTCACCTCATTGTTTACTTACCTGCCGAGGTGTCTAGGCCTTTCTTTGCTTGGTTGTTTCCTCAACCTGTGAGTCACAAGTTTGCTTCTGGAGGTGACTGAAAGTCATTTCCTTTACTCATTACACGTAGTTCATGTTGTCATGTGACTAGATACACACCTAACCGTATTTCACAACATCCTGATCAAGGAAGACTTTCCTAGGTGAAAGCTAATGTTTTATTCATTCAACAAACATCAACCACCTACTATGTGGCTAGGGACAAGGAACTCAAATCAGTCACAGCTTCAGCATTTTGAAGACTTGGTTAACTGAAACAGACATGAACAGCTAACAGTGATTCCACAACAGGGATGTGTGCAGAGGACTAGAACATAGATTGCAGAATAATTCTGCCTGAGAGAAATGAGAATATCTCAGAAGAGTCACAGAAGGCCTTGGTCTGGGGCCTTAAAAACAATGTTCAAGTTTGCAGGCTGAAGAACTGGGGAAAGGGCATTAGAGACAGGAGGAACAGCCTAAGCAAAGGCGTGAGAATAAGAGCATTTTCCAGCTCAGTTTTCAGTAGAAGTACCATTGTGTAGCAGCACTATGTTCAGTCCACACACTTGACTGCATTAAAAGTTGACAAAGATGACAAAAGGTATTTGCTCACTAAAAAATCATCAACCACTATTTTATTACAAGGCTGTGAGCCTGGCCCTCATTAACTTTAAAGTCTATATGTTCATCGTTTATCAAGTCTGTCAAACATACTCTTTTTCTAGAACTATCTGGAATAAATAGATACGAATGTCAAACAATTCTACTGAGACAGAAATGGCACTCGGTGAGTCTCTTCAAGTGTCCTCTTTGCAATGGCTTTACAAACAGCAGTTTTGACCCTGGTTTCTGTGTAGGACTTGGCAGCTGATTTTATTTCCCTGAAATGTATCCCTTTCCGGTGTCAGAGTTATTGGGCATTTGAAACATTTTCCAGCTTAAGGAAAAAAAAAAAAAACCTCTGCAATAATTTTTAACCCTTATTTTTTGAATCCCAAATGTCTTTGAGGATCCGATAGACACTCTAGACCCTTCCCCCAGAAAAATTGAAATGTGCAAATACACATCATTTTTCACCTGATTTCAGTGGGTTTATGATTGCCTGAAACCAATTTGTGGATCTAGTATGGGACCATAAACCTTAGACTAAGAATTCCTACCCTAAAGGAAATGATCAAGCAAATAACACTGGGAGTATACCAGATGTACATGTTCGGGAGCCAGATCAGGAATAGACTCTTATATACAGGAATCAGTTGTGCTAAAAATTGCGCAGCTGTGACCCACACGACCCACATTCTCCCCCGACTCTACCACCACAGCTAATGCTAAAGAAAGTTAATGAAATTCTACATGTTTTACTTTGCTCATCTGTAAAATGGGGATAATACTATCACTCCTTGAAAGCTACTGGTGAGTCTTAAATTAAATCATGGATGTGGATTTAGCAGTCTAATACAGCAGGCCCTCGGTAAATGGTAGTTCTTATTAACACATCTAAAATGTGTGGAGCAGGCTTTGCTCCAAAACCTACTAGTGCTATTACCCTGAGGAAATCTGCTGGGATATTTCACAGAGGATCCCTAGTGGGACTGAACAGCTATAGCAAATGCCTCTTGAGAACACGTTTCTGTACCTGAGATGGAGCCTCAGAGCCTGCAGCCACATCAAAATTAGCCTTTAAGGTCACAGCCACAAATAGGATCTAGGCTTCTTTTGCCTTTCACCTATACATCAAATTTTTAAACAATTGGATGTAGAAAATTGGAACTCGTGAGCACATTTATTCTCTTGTTTTCTTTTTGTTTATTCATTTTGGTGCTGAGGGTTGAACTACAAAAAAACCCAGAGCTTCACACATGTTATAGGCAAGTACTCTATCAGTGAGCTACATTCCTAGCCCTTCATTTATTTATTCCCAGAGGTCTTTGGGCTTTTTCTCTGAATTAAACCGAAACTAAATATCACCACTATGTGAGCTTTGCTATATTATTATTGATCAGGTTTATAACTTAGTTTTTTTTTATTTTCATCATATTTTTTATAAAATAGACTAACATTTTATTTTTGAAAAAAACTAAGCAAAGTATACATAATCAAGCTTAATAGGAGAAGGAAGTCTCTCTCTCTCTCTCTCTCTCTCTCTCTCTCTATATATATATATATACTTTTAACTGGCACAGCAAAAGCAACAAGAGTGTGTACTTATATACAACTGATCAAAATAAGAACCAGCCTGTAATCACAGAAACTTGGGAGGCTGTAGCAGAAAGACAGCAAGTTCAAGGCCAGCCTAAGCAACTTGGCAAGGCCCTAAGCAATGTCGTAAGACCCTTTCTCAAAAACAAAACAAAACAAAATATGAACTAAGCATTATGAAGAACATGATGCAAGTCATTTCCCCTGATAAAAGGAGTGATCCAAGGTTTTTTTTTTTCAACTGAAGTTTTTATTGAGATAATTGCAGATTCACATGCCGGTGTAAGAAATAATACCTTGTACCTTTTGCCCAGTTTCAATCAATGGGAACATTGTGCGAAACTATAGTATAGTATCACAACCAGGACACTGACATTGGTACAATCTACTGATCTTACTCAGATTCCCCCAGTTTTACTTGTACTGGGATGTGTGCGTAACTTCTGTGCAACCTTAATACGTGTAGGTTCCTGTATTCACCATAGTCAACATACAGAACTCTTCCAAATCCACACGATCCCCCATGTTGCCCTTTTATAGCCCAACCCTGCAACACCTGTCAATCACAATTCTGCCATTTATTTCTAAAATATCCTCATTTCAAAACTATTATACTCAGTTCCAAAATATCATAAAATTGAAATCATACAGGGTATAATCTTTTGAAATTGGAGCATAATTGCCTAAAGATTCATCTGAGTTGTTACACAGATCAACCATTGGTTGATCCTCCTATTCTGCCTCTGCGTGTATCTACCAAAGCATTGGCAGTTTGTTTAACCGTTCATCCTTTGAAGGACACCTGGGCTGACACTCCAGTTTGGAGCTATTGCATGTAAACTGCTGTGAACATTTCTGTACAGGTTTTTATGTGAGCATACAGTTTTATTTCTCTGGGATACATGCCCAGGAGTGCAATTGCTGAGTCACATGGAAATTGCATGTTAAGTTTTATAAGAAACTGCCAAACTGTTTTCCAAAGTAGCTGTAGCCTTTGACTTTTCCACCAGCAGTATTTCTCAGCATACTTGCCAGCATTTGGTGTTATTGCTATTTTTTTAATTTTAGCCATCCTAATAGTTGGGTCATTGTTGGATTTTATGGCCATGGAATTATGTGAGATATAATTTCTTCAAACATATGCAGGCAGATCTTCAGAGACAATTCTAAAAATGGATGAATGAATAAATAAATAAATAAATCCAAAGCCTTTTCCTTTAAAGATCCTAGCTGCACCCCACAATTTATGTTCAGAAACAGCTAAGATCATGAGTGAAAAATGAGAAGGTTATGGAACTGTTGTTCATTTTAAAATGTAATTTTGGCCTTATGCAGTGGCACACACCTATAATCCCAGCAACTGGGGAGGCTGAGACACGAGGATCACAAGTTCAAAGGCAGCCTCAGCAATTTAGCAAGACCCTGTCTCAAAATTTAAAAAAATAAATAAATGAATAGAGAGGGCAGG